CTTTTCCCCCCTAATATGAACTGTGGGCTCATTCAAGCCCCCCCCCCTCCCTCCCCATAAAAATTAATAACAATGAGGGAGGGGGGGGGGGGGGGTCATGTCATGTCACATCTCAATCTCATTCTCTTCAGATTCAAGTGATAATGCAGATCGAGGTATAATAACGTGACGTCAATGGCCAAAGTCAATTTTCTGAACTTGTCTATTATGCCAGAAAGGGTATTCCCTTTTTGAAACCCCAAACAGACACTATAGACTCGACATGCAGACTGTATTCAATTTCTATTCGTTTGAGCACATATATAATGTCTACACTCAACCTTATGCTGCAGAATAATTTCAATTTTGGGTAGTTGTGTTTATTAAACCACTATTTCTTTCACATTATTCAACTTAACTTATGCCTCCACTACCACACAATGTTTACATCCATAAGAAAACTTTCTGAATAGATGTTCAGGAAAAAAATAGTTGTCTAACTTCACTAAAATCAATACAAATTTCACTGGCAATTAACTATTAACTTGACACAGCTCCAAAGGTGAAAAATGATGAAAATCAAGCATGACGATAAACTGGAAAATATTTCTTCAAATCATACAGGGAAAATGAAACTTTTCTTTTATTTTTCTTTTATTCGCATTAGTTGAGGGTAACAGAGTAAAAGCTTGTAACTTGCCAACAATACTGCATGCTGAGGTCCTGTTCAAGGCAATCCCTAGACACACCATGCATTTCTTTTGAATCTTGTTTTACAATCCCCCCCCCCCTCCCCCCACCTCCCCACAAACTTCTCATCTTGCTGATGCGATAATGATCACATCATTATCACATGTAGTTTCAGGACAGTTCATTTGACAATGAACTGAATATCACTTAATGCCAACGCACTCGAGAGCCTTGCACATTTATCACTAATGTAGCCAGAGTAGGATTGGGGGGGGGGGGGGGGGGCGTTTCACAAAACTTGTCATCAGTGACAAATGACAGTTTTTGTTATAAGTTTTTGAAATCCTTGCTTCTGATTGGTTATCAGCAGATTTGTCACAGATTGTTTTCATTTGTCATTGGAAAAAGGCTTTGTGAAACGAGTCCCTGGTCTCGGGTTTTCCGTATCTTGGTCTTAGTATCCACCCAAAGATCTATAGATGCAAAATACATGGACTAACAAGTCCCCCTCCCCCTCCCTTGGTCTCAGAACATGAAATCTCCTTGATGATAGAAAATATGAATGATTAGAATAAACAATTAATGCCTTTCAAAATAATTTTTACAAAATATTTTCAAAGATGCTAATGGCTTTCCATAATTTTTAAGTCCAACTTAGTGTTAAGTTCTACTTAGGATCTTTGTGAAACACCCTCCAGATCTCTGGTACACAAGTTCTAATGCTATATACCCCATTATTTGATGATGATGTGCTGTATAAAGTAACTAGGGTCTGCGTTGAAAAGAAAAGTTAGAGGTCCGCACTGATAGTAGTAATCGCTCATTTGTGATATGCAAACTATTTATGAAGAGTTGGATAGAGTAACTTGGAGCGCTGCCAGCGCTTCCCAGGGTTGGGTAGTTACAGTGCTAGAGGTGCTAGCCCGCCACCGCTATGATACTGGAAATGTACGGTTGATGTAAGGCAAGGTCGATGGGGTGTACATGCATCTGTAAAAAGGGGTGTGGGGTGGGGTGTAAAGTGGGGTGGGAGTGGGGTGGGAGAGGGGTTTGGAGTTGGGTGTGGGGGTATGGAGTGGGAGAGGGGTGTAGGCCTAGGGTGGGGGTCAGGTGTGGGGAGTGGGGTGTGGAGATGGTGGAGTTGGGGTGTGGAGTAGGGGTGTGGGGTGGGGTGTGGAGTGGGATTGGAGACAGCATGCGGTGCTGGGAATGTCTAAATATAGCAGCAGCCGCCGCAATCATTTGTACTTGGTGGTGTGTAGGCGCTGAACGTCTATTGCCGAGGGAGCGGATGCGTGGAGCATTACTTCCGGGTTTCAATTTCCAAAGTTGATTTATCGGTTACGCAGGTTTGGAGAGCACAGTGTACTCTCACCAATTTCCTTGTTTCTTTCAAATTAATGGAAGCTACAAATGTACATGATAAATCACCATTTATTACATTTTTCATTTCATATCACCAAGGGAGCTTTCACATGATGTTTTGAAATGTTCATCACATAATTCAGAAGCTTTAACTGGAAAATTGCAAGAAGGATTGACAAAGCAGAGCAATGCCTGTCATAAATTCCTTAAATAAATCTTCAAATGTTCAAATATAAATACCAACAAACTGAATGATTTTGAGGGTTTCTTTCCCTGCAAGCATAGGTAGTTCAGAGTCACTTAACCCTATAAGCACCCAAGCTCCTCTACATTGTGAATCTAATCAATCCAACTCAGTTGTTCTCCATAAACAAAGAGGGTATTCTTACCCAACCCCACCCCCCTCAAAATATAAAATCTCTTTGCTCCGGAAGAAAAAAATATCAAAACCAGAATATACATACACTGTAGAGCATCATTCAATGTTTATATACTTTAATACCTATAGTACATTTTCAAAGTATTTATGGAATTATTCATGCATTGAGGATTCCGCAATGTGAAAATTAGTAATCAATCATTGAAATGTTATTGATTTAGTATTAAAGGTAAAGACCAGTTATGGTCATGCGATTGCATTGTGAAAGAAACGTTGTGGAATCGATCAGAAAAGGTTGATCATCTAGCATCTAGCATCTACAAGGTTCTGGAATCATCAAAATGATAAGAAATTTGGCCCATTCTTTGTAAAGTTACAAGCACTATACACAGAAAGATGTATATGGGACTACCCTATATCTCTCACAGACCATGAGAGAAACAAATTTACCAAATATATGAATTAGTAGGCGGTTTCCCAGCAAATTTTGTATCATCATGTATTAGTCAAAACATATTCTTTCACATGATTGGTAACGAGAGCTTCCATTTCATTTTTTGAAATTGGGGCGTTTCCAATACTGGTCTTTACCTTTAAAAGGCACATGATACTCGAGGCCCTTGTTGGGTTAAGGAATTAACTGATATATCCCATGAAGCTCAAACAATCACAAGGAGCAATCAGCTGACAAACACAAACTCATGATGTCCTAAATAATAGCAACTCCATGAATGGAGTCACTACAATATAGACATGATTCCTTGAGCCCTTTCCTTAATACTTTTTGGAGGGAGCCTTATGAAAAACTTTATTAAGAGGGTCCGAGTAAATCAGGAGCCAATCATTTTTAAGTCTTATTTTTAATCTCTCACAAAGACTCTTTATCACAAGACCTCTATATTTACCCTTTCCTGTCCTGTACACTTCTTAGCTCATTGACTTCTTTTCATGAATGAGTTAAAAATAACTTCTAGCTAATACAGGGGTTTTACTTAACACAAAACACTGGTCTTTCACACCGCGATATACACTGTCTATGGGAACACACCACATACTGTATATAAGTAGTTATTTTCACAGGGGTTTTATTTTTGCGAATTTTGCGAATCACTTATTGATCGCAAATTTAACATGCTAAAATTTTTTCCAGCAAGTAATGTTGCATGTCTAAATCCCTAAAGTGAACCTGGCTGGTATGTAGCACACATCATCTATACAGTACAGCACAAGTCATCAATGGGGCATGCAGTGCAGTTTGAGAGCACACCAATTGTAATGGGGCACTTCAATGGATTATTTCCATTTAATGCTCCCGAACTAATCCTCATATTATGATGATTGCAATTCTCGGGAATGAGTTCATGATCCACGGAAATAGAATAATTGATGAAAAAGCATATAATTGGTAATGGTTGCGCTTTTTAAAAGCAAATTAAAAAAAATGATGAATTTGTCCTTAAAGGAAACCTCACTCCAAAGAATAAATGCAGGTATTCTGAAAAATGAGATGTATTACTGCCTTTTGATGTACGATATTCCTCACAAAAATGTACAAGAGATATACAATTGAAGAGATTCTTGGCATGATGTGATACCTTTTAGCATGATATGATTTTCTTGAAAATGTGACGTACCAGTTGAAGTTGTACATGTATCATGCACCATGCTTTAGTTGGAAAGACTTTTTAAATCAATAACAAAACCTTTACTTTTCAATGAGGAAATATTGTAGATGAGAAGATAGAAATTATATTTGGTGAACAATATATAACAGGGGAACAATTGTAACAAATTCATTTAAAAATACTAATATATAGGAGTTGACAAATCTATTGCCCATGTCGTGCTGAGAAAGTGAACATTATTCTTGTATTATGCCTCTTTCATACATGGAAGACTATGGAATCTTGTAGATTAATGGGCAAGAATATAATAAATCTCTCAGAATAAGTAAAATTATTTCTTGGGTTGAGGTTTCCTTTATACCCTTTGAAGGTGAAAATATCTTTACACATAAATATATGCTTATACAGTAGGTGCCTCAATGTCCTTTATATACCATCACTTATGTATCATCACCTCAGCCATGGGGACATACCTCTTCACGATGATATATGTCTTCTGGAAAATAGACAGTATTTTCTTTTGATATGATATTAATTTTCCTGGTATGAAATATAATCCTGAATGGGATGAAAAGGGTTCATTGAGACGTCCTTGACTGCAGGGCGAGTACGTCTACAATTTCATCTTCCCCGTGTATATCCTCAGGCAGCATTCATGACGAAAAAAACATGCAATAAAACGTACTTAACTGCAGGCTGAATGCATCTTGTCTTCATATTTATCTTTCTGATATAGAGTCAAAGGCAGAATGGAATGAAAGTATTCAGTGAGGCTCGATTGACAGCAGGATAAACACATCTTGACTTGGTATGAATTTTCCCGAAGTAGTTTCTTATATAGAGCAGGAAGAAAACGCTCAGTGAAACATAGATAACCATGTTGTGAACAGGTCTAAATTCCATATTCATCTTCCTGCTATTAAGTCTCATGCAGATGGGGTCAAGAAACGGTCGGCCAAACATGGCTGCAGTGTGAACATACCTCGGCTTGATACTCGTCTTCCCATCATGAAGTCTTCATGCAGGAAGAGATTAGAACGTTCAGTGAAACTTCGCTGACTCCAAGATCTGACTTGAGTGGAGAATGCCCCTACCAACTGGCGGATTCTTCAAACAACTTTGTAGGTTCCTTGGCTGCAGCCTCTGTAGTGACAATTCATCAATAAAACACAAATATTATTACATGTTATGAACAGTTATGAAAGAGAGGGTATTTAAAGGGGAAGTCCACCCTGATATCAAGTTGGTTTCAATAGAAGCAGAAAAATAAGAGAAAGAGGTCAGTGAAAGTTTGAGCAAAATCTGATTCAAATAAGAAAGTAATCAATTTTTGAAGTTGACATCAGGGCTGCGTCTCACGAAACCGTCATAAGTACAAGTTGAGCGACATCCCATTGAAATGCGTGTTAAACTTAATACACACATTTCAATGGGATGTCGCTCAACTTGTACTTATGACGGTTCCGTGAGACGCAGCCCTGGTATACACAAATGGGCAACACTGGGAAGTATCTTGCGAGCTTTCCAACTTGCACTGTATAGACAATTTCATAACCTTTTCTCTTCTTAGTTATTGATGACGGAATAGATTTGTTTCATACAGGGATTTTATAAAAACATATTTGCTAAAACTTTCACTGAATATCAGATGTCATTGATCTGCTGGGTAAATATCATGGGAAATATTTTGGCCAACCAGAATATCAAGAACAATTTCAATTTCGCCACTCAAATTCTTGGGTGCACTGTGCGGCCCATAGCATGAGAAGGATGTAAAATTATGCACATTATTTTTCACTTCATTATCTTGTCCGTATAGTATTCAGCACACACACACACACACACACACACATGGCCGAGATAGCAGACCACGGCGAAGAAGCCTATCCATTATACATCAAGGGTTCAGTGACACAAATACGTAACTCCATAATTTGCCAAAATTAGTTTTTTATATCAAAATGTTCAGAAAAAATGTGTTTCCAGGAAACACATAAGACTAACTCAACCCAAAACCTCATTTAAGTCAATGGCTAGCCAAACATATACTTTACTCCTTAAGGCCCAAGTGCTCAGTGACACATAAACCACTTTTTCTCAAAATGGCCAAAATGGAGTTATGTCTTTGTGTCACTGACCCCTTTAACATGAACTATTATGTGAAGGGTTATCATGATGGATTCCCGGTTGTTCATATTCATTGTGTTTCCTAGAAATTGGGAGGTAGTACTGGCACGCTCCACCGACACTCATCACTCGACAACCCCAGGCAGTGAAAGCATAGCTGCAGGTGCTGGGGCCCCGTTTCATGAAACTTTTTATCTATAACAAATGCTTAATTTCTATGATAAATTTGCTCTCAGCCAATCAGATGCCTTGGTTTCAGTAGCTTATAACGGTAGCTTGTAACTTGTTATTGATATCAAGTTTTATGAAACAGGGCCCAGAACGTAATGCTGGCTCCCATAACAACCATTATACCAATGATCGCCATTAGTGATGAGATCCAATTGGAATACAGTCTACCAGTCTACCACATGAAGTGATATTGTACTGGTACAGTTTTTTAAATCCTTTACATGAAAGGCAGGGATATGTAAGATGAGAAGCAGGAGGAGGGGGGGGGGGGGGGGTAGATATTAAGATATCAGATTGAAGATTTGAGACAAATAGAAACTTTTGTAGACAATCTAATAAAATTAGTGTCTGCTATCCATTTGCTTTATAATAATTCAGTCTACATTGGGTTTGGATCTTCATAATATCTAAATGGTTGTGTAGCTTTCATACTAAATTTGATGTTCGTATTATGATGTAAATATCTGATTACTTTGTAAAACAGACAATATCAGCCTTGAGGTTGCATGTAATTTCAAAAATTGTTATAATCCAATCAATTCAATACTTTATTTTTTCTCATGTCTACATTGTATGGTATCTTTGGAATGCCAAATAAATGCTACTACAAAAAGATAATAATACTGGATTCCTAATGTGAAAATTTATCCAGTAGACCATTCATTAGTTGCTGCATGTCGGATGTACCTTTGAAAAGCTTTCAAGGGTTTAGTTTAACCGACTATAGATTGCAGAGTACTCATTTGCGAGCCAATGACTTAGAAATTAAATATATACATTTCTCAGTCACACCACCATACCAACTTCAGACTGACTCCAAATCGACCGATCCTTGGCCAAAAAAGTAATGATATATTTTTGTTCTGTCTGGTGTCTGTCTGGTGTCGGTCTGGTGTCGGTCTTGTGGGTGTGACTAAGGTATGATCATTGATCAGGGGTCTGTTTCATAAAACTTGTTATCTATAACAACTGCTAAATTTCTATGACAAATTTGCTCTCAGCCAATCAGATGCATTGATTTCAGTAGCTTATAACAGTAGCTTGTAACTTGTTATTGATATCAAGTTTTATGAAACAGGGTCCTGTAGGGATAGAAATTACCATTATCCTCGCTGCTTGCTCTATCTAGTTTCTTGCCTTCTGAAGATGGTATAGGTGGCGTAACGCTCTTTCTCGAGACAAAGGGGGTAGCACTAAAAAGAGAATAGATCATTTTCAAAATGAAAATTAGTCAATGAAATATTACTATTCCAGTCAACATCTATCTTATTTAAAGACCAAATGTATAGGTATTGATGAAGGGTTCTTTAATATCAATAGGATGAGCATGTTTGAGTGAGATTACTTTTGAATTGCTTTATACCAAGAGAACAGGGCATTGCTTTCATTTCACAGTATTCATTGGTTGATGCTAGGTTGGCTGTACCTTGGACAATCTTTGAAATTTGCTCTGGTGTAGAAATATATTACTGACAAAAGAATGAATAAAAACTCAGTTTAAAGCCAATGACCTGGGCCCCGTCTTACAAAGAGTTGCAAGTCCTCCAATCAATCGCAACTTTGCAGTCTCCTATCTTTTATGTACATAGTTGCAATTGAATTAATCGCAAATAAGTTGCGATTACCGTAATATCAACTCTTTGTAAGACGGGGCCCAGGATATATTTGAACTATAGTTTTTACCTGTTGACACCCTGCATGAAAATTCTTCATACAGACTAAAACAAAAAATGATAAAGAAATATCTGGCACCCGATGAAATCTTATCAAACTCACTTTGGATCCATCTGTTTGAGCTTCTTGGCCGTACTTGACATAAAGCTAGCGACCTCTGGGTCGTCGAAATCGGCCAATTTATCCGGGGACTCGTCAACCATGGCACGCTTCTTTCCACGAGGGCTCCCGGGTGTCTTCGCCTCGGCGGAGGAGGGGGCTTCTTGGAAAGCTGGGAAGGGGACAAAGTCTCCAGCCATGAACTGAGATTTCTTGTAGTCCGCGTAGGATGTGACCTGGTAGAGAGGGTTCTTCTCTAGGGTCCGTCGAACTGTGAAGAGAAAAGGTATCAAGTAAAATTAGTGAAAACAATACTTAAAGTGACTCAGGAACATTGCCTCAGATTCTGAAACAAAATCTTTGATTTAGCTCATGCTGCAATCATAGTTATAAGCCTTTAGGTCAGTCAGGAATACCATAACTTTTACAAACCCATCGCCTGCCTGCTTATCAAGATATTGATGAATGGAAATCAAAATTTCATTTTTTAGTTTTCCTAGCGGTTTTTATAGCACTAGAGTTTCTTAGGGAAAATGAGTGTAGTAAAACCGGTCCCTCAAAGATTTTTTACTTCTTTGAGGCACTTTATGATCAATTTGAAGCCCAATTTTTTAAAATAACACGTGGGGCTCTGCATCTCAGATTTAACATTGTTAAACGATGCCTTGAATAAAGATTTTACTGACAGCAGGGATAATAAACTAAGCTTTTTTTTGAAGGGGCTCCTAATTGAACTATCTAGATTCTGCATGCATACTTCCAAGAAAAGTCATAAGCCATAGACCTATGGTGACAGAGCACTGACATGAGGAGGCCCAAAACTTTGGAACGCTCTCCCAGTATCGCTAAGCTCGATGACAGACATTGAGGTGTTAAAGAAAGGACTAAAAACTAATCTCTTTGATATACTATACCGGTACCGTAAGTGGTTTTTATTAGTGATTATGAATTATAAATTGTAAAGCACTCCTGAAATGCACTAATAGGAGAACAATATATTATGATGATGATCTAAGCTCTATGTTAACATTTTGAAATATAATAGGTGCAGTCATAGCGTTTGGTGCCTTCGTGTCCCAGGTACCTGTTAGGCTGTTAGTGGTGTTGAAATGTGCTGTAAGTTGTAGGAATTCCATGATATGATTTCTAATCTTATCCTAGTTTCCCTCCTTCTGTTCCCCTAATTTTTTCTAAACCATGGCCAAGTATAATTTCAAGTGTTACTATTTTAAATAAAAATGCTTGTTTCAGTGTTAATTTATGTAAAGGGCGGTCTAGGGATTTGCATGGTGAAAATCTCAAAAACTTGTAAAAAGGGCTAACACGTAAAAAAAAAAATCATAATTCAAAACTTTCAATAAAATTATGGAAATAAACTAGTCATTATTAGTCAATTTACTTCTAAAATTTGAAGTTTGCAACTGGCAGTGTTTCATTCACCCCATTTGTTGTGTGCAAAATGAGGGCTTCAATTTTTCATTCTAAGAGAGAAAACCACTGACAGTCTTTTGATCTGAAATTTTGCTCATACTTTCATAAACTTGTCCTTTGCTGCCACAGGTAAATATTGAGACAAGTTTTTAAGGGTTAACAAATTCCTGATAAGGGCTTTAAATATATAGCATGGGGAGACGAAAAAAGAAAAAGGCTAGCGGTTTCTGTTTCAGCAGAAGAAGTTATGTAATTCGCAGTTTAACCTTTCAACTTTGTTAGAACAGCAATGGTTTATGGTTCAGAAACTTGGAATGTAAAGACGGTAGAAGAAGGTTCCTTGAGACAGCAGACAGAGCCATGATACAGATAACATGTAGTGTGAAACTGTCTGATAGAAAGAACACAAGTGTGCTCAAGGAAAGATTGTCCTGGGAAGAAACATTAGTGGGACTGGTAAAACAAAGTGGATTGAGAAGGGAAGATGATTGATGGAACTGTGAAAAGAGCATGGAATCTGCCGGAAGTGGATGGCATAAGATGGAAAGGAAGACCGAAGATTTCATGGAAAGGTATGGTGGAGAAAGAAAGCAGTAAGGTTTGTCATCATGGTGCAGAAGTCAGTAATCCCTCATAAGTGGGAAAATACTGACGTTAAAACATGATGCTGCTGATGATGATGATGACAACGTTCTTGGGAGGTAATAGCTGCCTTTAGCTAAGGGGAGGGATTAAGGTGTACCAATCACAAAAAAAAATTATGTAGGTGCATATGGGTGCGTCGAGAAGTCTACCGGTACTCATACGTCACTTTACGCTTATTAAGAGTGCATTTCAAATTGCAATATCACTTTATAATTGAAAACCATATTCAAAGTATAGTACAGTGACATGGAAGCTCTAACATAAAGAGGAAGAAAGGTTAGAGAGTGCTTTAAATGTCAATGATCTACATAATCTATTTGCATCATGTTCTACTGCGAAATGAACAAGAGAGGAAGCTGTATACAGTGACCAGGCGGTCAAGATAGGCGATCTGGGAATTGATTTTCATAGAGCCTTTTGCTCTGGAAGCAATGTACATAGTTAAGTATACGTGTATAGGGTGAGGTAAAAGGTGAGATAGTGCTCTAAATGTCAATGATCTACATAATCTATTCCCATCATGTTCTACTGTGAAATTAACTCGAGAGGAAGCTGTATACAGTGACCAGACGGTCAAGAGAGTCGATCTGGGAATTGAATTTCACAGAACCTCTCACTCCGGAAGCGATGAACATAGAATATGTATATAAATCCTCTGGTTTCTCTATGCCAAGGGCAAGGTTTCCACGGAGGTAGGATTTCAAATGGCATTTAAAATACAGGATGTGTCTTTCCTAGCACAGTGTACATTTCATCTATAACACATTTTTTTGGTATACATCTGGGGAGTCTTTCACAAAGACTAAGATCGACTATGTTGGTCTAAACTACGGCAGGCCGTTCATGCCACTGGTTGCACTCACCATTATGATCTTTAGATAATATTTCTTCCTTCAATAATGAACTATCAAAAAATGTAAATTATGTAGATTTGTGACCATGATTTGTACGTCCCTTGAGAGACAAATGCCAGTAAATGGTGAGAGAAAACAGTGGCATGAACGGCCTGCCATAGTTAAGTCAAACTTAAAGTCGATCTTAGTCTGTGTGAAACACTCCCCTGGGGCTATATTCATAAAACCTTAGCTAATTACATAGACAAAAGGACATAGCTTGAGATAATAACTAGGCTGAGTAAAGTTTTATGAATATGTGCCCAAGACCCATATTCATAAACCTTTACTACAGTAAGCCTAGATCGCAAACTGAAATGAAATGCTTTTTTTTTACATTTCTGAGGTGGAAAAAAATGTTCTATAAGTAAAAAAAAATAAATATATAATGAATAATAAGTAATAAATGATAAATGATGAATGAATAAAAAATATTGAGTAAATAATGGTTAACAAATAATAAACAATAAATAAAAAATACTAAATGAATAATAAGTAATAAATAATAAATGAATAATAAATACTAATAGTTAACAAATAATAAACAATAAATAAATAAAAATACTGAATGAATAATAAATAATAAATAATGAATCATAAATAATAAATAATGATAATATATATATTTCTTACCCTGTGAGGCTCTATCTTTCTTCATCAAGCCAACCATAGCGGACTTGTCGTCAATCCAGCTAATCATGATGTTGCCAAAGGGAGTGAAGAGGTCATAGAGGTCAGTTGATTTCCATTCCGACGGAAAGCGCACATGGAAGATGTGATCTCTGGAAGGTTGCACTGAGAGTGATGAAACAACAAAAAATGATTTCATTGATTATATTTTTTGATGATAATAATGATTGGTTTAGCTGACTGATCAGAAAGCATGTATATGATTGTAAGTAAACAACCAGGGGACCGACGGTTTTAAGTACCCTCCGAGGGACTTGGTAATGAGGATTAATGCCTTACTGCTATTAAAGAAAGCATGTATATGATTGTAAGTAAACAGCCAGGGAACCAACAGCTTTAAGACCTCTCCAAGGGACTTGGTAATAAGGAATAATGCCTTATCAAAGGGCACAAGCACACTGACTTGGTTTTGAACCCAGGATCTCCTGGTTACGAGCCCACTGCCCTACCACTGAGCCATCACGCCTCTTTCACAATAAATAATTCAAGAGGTTGCAGCCATGTAGTGCTAGTATAAACCACAAAGTAATTTAATACACACATTTCCATTACTAAAAGATTAACAGAGAATCATATGTTCCCTATTAAGACCTCTGGAAGGTTGCACTGGCATACAAGGAGAGATGATATGGTATAGTAATTTTAATTCTTCTATCATCCAAACACAATTTTATTACTTAAAACGTATTAATATTCTTTTGGCCAAGTAACCCCCTCCCCCCCCCCCCTAACAACAAAAATGAAACCAGAACCTATCAGATGACTTCCTCAAATTTAAATACAATCTTGATTTTGGAAATGGGGGGGGGGGGGGGGGGGGGGGGGGGGGGGGGGGAGGTGATGCCATTCATGTGAACCCAGCAGTTGATACAGAGGATTAATCTACATTCAGTTATTGTCATTGGGAGTTTGGAATGAAAAGATTAAATCATGAAAATCAAATGTGATGAGCTTGTCTTTTGTTCAACAACTGTATGGCTCGTTCTCATGTTTAAGAAGAAAAAAAAAGAAAATTCACTTTAGAATGTACTTTAGCACGTACTGTATGGGCTGTTTTCATGAGGTCATGTATAGTTACATGATAATATTTGGTTGCTAGCCCTAGTTCTTTGGATCTATAGAAAAGAGATTTTTAACGAGTGATTGGCTCTTGGCATACTTTTATAAATTCATTCATAGAATTATTATAAAGAACATATATCCCTTATTCAGCACTCAAATCTGGGAAATAAAAGCACATTGTTTGTCTCAACTTTATACAGCAATTTAAAGAATTACATGAAGTTGTGGTGCATATTTATTCTGTGAATGCGCAAGACATTTAGTTCTTCAAATGCAGGTTCCTCTTTTTAATGCTTGTTGGTGTAAAGTATATAAAAATACATCACAAATTTCCTTTTCTTCTTCTTCATAAACAAATGTCAAATCTTTTTCATAATGGTTTAGTATTGCTGTTGTAAAGTTATTTTAAAGAAACAGAACAAATTGTATACACAAAATTGTTTGTTTTTCTCAACATAGAAGTACAATGTAGTCTGTTGATAATTTGGTTGATTGAAGGATGCAAAAATGGCAAATTCTGGGATTTATTAATCTTCACTGATTATAAAGGTTAAAAGTAATGCGAACTGCAGGATATGGTTTAATCTGACCATCCTCAAAGAACAGGCTCAAAGTTTCATTCTTCATACTTTAGAGTGATGTCAAATACTTAAAAAAAATACTGGATAAAGAAAGAAATTAATTTATTTGAAGGAAAAAGTGCATTGTATTGATAATGTATTCAAGCCTTTCAAGGTATTTGGGAAAGATCTTCGTCAAGTTACTAATACATTAAAATGAACCTTAGCACTTAAAGATAAACTCCAGTACTGGTAAAAAAAAAAAAAAAAATTCTCACAGAATCAAACGAAACTTACACTGAATGTTCAAGATTACAAATAAATGACATGTGCCAAACAATTTTGGAAGAAAATGTATACTGGCTGAGTAATGAGCATAGAAAGACAAAGAAATCAAGGTAGTACTAGCCCCGACACCATGTGTGTTGTCCCATATATAGCTTTCTATGTGAGTGCTTGTTACTTTACCAAGACTCGGTCAAATTTATTATGATTTTGATGACTCCAGAACCTTGCAGTGCACACCAATACTTACATGCTACATGATCAACTGTTTCTGATCCTTTCCACACCTTTTCTTTCACAATGCAATCGCATTACCAGTACTAAAGTTTATCTTTAATTCTTTCATTTTTTGTTGTTGCCCAGTTACAAAGCAACATAAAATTAATGTACCTAGAATGAGTGTAAATGTTCTTTTTACAATGGCAAAAGTGATGTCATTGTAAATTCATATGTACCGGTATAGTCTGTTTGGAGCCATAAGAATATTAACTCATATACGTAGCACCCTTCTGGCTCCAAACAGACAGTATGTACGTATGTGTGCATGACACATTGATAGCTGATTGAATTAAACTCCAAAGGGGGTCTTTTTCTGCTTTTGTTTGGGACCCCCTCCCCTACAAGCATAATTTTCCAGACAAATAGTTTGGTAAGGAAAGAAGATTTATAGGTAGGTATTCTTTCCCCTTTAAATGGATAAAGAACTCAATTTAAAAGACTGAAATCTTCTGTAGATAACCAGTTTCTACACTCTATTTTATTGACGACAATGCTGAACATGTTTATTTGCTGTTTCCATGGAAATAACAAGTTCAAATTACCTAAATATGAATTGGAGCGATCAAGCGATTAGTCGCAAAACAGTCCAATCTCAACATAACGTCTGCTGAGAGCCAGGAAGGTATTATAAACTCTAACTTTTAATGTTCAGTCACCTAAACTCTATTGTGTAAGAAATTTCCACATATTTTATGGTTCACTCATATTGTGGAAATTGCCTCGGTTTGCTGCAAACTGTGAAAAGATATGATTTATTGACAAAACCGCAAGGGTAAACCGGTATCACCGTTTTTTGCAATAAAACGAGGTTCAAATTAGTCCATTCTGTCAGATATGATGTTTGCAGCTGGCAAATATGAACAAAGTTAGCCCTGGTTTGCTACAAACTGTGAAAATAAAAATAAAATGCCCTGTCACAATTTTTTTTTTTTTTTTTTTTTTGGGGGGGGGGGGGGGGGGGGGATAAAACCGCAAGGGTTGGGGTTGATCACTTTTAACACAACACATAAGTGCTTAAAATCTACCCAAGTGGCAATAAATCATATACATGTAGGTAATATTATGATTTGAAACGGAGAGAGAGAGAGAGAGAAATAAGCGATCATAACACACAAATTACACATTACATGCCAGTGCCATTCAGGCACTTAAGGATTCCAGGGTGCTGGGTAATGCCGGGTGAAAAGAACAGACCGAGTTAATTGGAGTATGACCATGAAAAAGTGACCAGAATAAACGGTATGCATCCATAGACATATAGAGCAATGTATTCAACTGCATTCAGAGGAGAGGAAAAGAGGGCAGCCATAACAGATTATGGCAAAACCACAATCCATATTAAACATTAAAAAGAAAATTACGATCAACGAGTTCAGTTCTGATGACAAATCTTTCAAAAGACATGTCAATAATCCAATTAATAAAATGGTTGCAAGACTGTATTAATATTGCGAGTGGGGTTATAACTGATGGGGGGATTTTGGTCAATGGAATTGAAGTAATGAGCAATGCATGCTCATTTTTGTCAACATGCAAGCCACATTTAATTAGAGTTTCTAAGAAGGGTGATAACTGCCCAGGGGTAGGGTAGAGTAGTGAGTGGTCTTGTAACCCTGAAGTCTCAGATTCAGAACACAATTAATGCACTCAGTCAGTGCCCTAATAAGGTACAGTCTAACCTACTTTAACGACCACCTGTCTACAAAGACCACCCCTTTTGTTCCCTTGAAAATGGTTTCTCATTGAAACATGTACTAAAGGAACCTGTACATAAAGACCACCTGCCCATAAAGACCACTTTTCTTGTCTCCCTTTGGTGGTCTTTGTAGACAGGTTTCACTGTATCAATGCTTACTTAGAAGTCCCTCTGAATGGATTAAGGTCAATATGTTTACTAGTTGCTTATCAAAACGCTAACACTTGCTTTCTTAGCAGCCTGGTAAAACAACAACCACAACAATGATTAATCAATTAGTCAATTATTGAACATTTCCTGGAGTAGTACACATCTTGATTCCAATGGCACTTTAAATTGAACGAAAATTTTAAAAAATGAGAAAAAGCAGGTACTTTAATTGTAATACCAGATTCCACCCCCCTCCCTCTTTGCCAACCACCCGACATACATACCTATTGTAATAGATATGGTATTCTATTTTCAAATATTTGAAAAATCACACTTTGGAATTGTCTCTCAGAGTCTTTCCCTAACCACAAAAGCAGCTCAAAATCTCAACTTTACAATTGTCAATGTTACATCACATTGAAAGAGTAGAGGAGGGCCAACATTTTCACATAGTTTAACACTCTCAACAGGCTGGATTCAACCTTAACACCATTGGATCGATTGTGAATCTAACATTCTAATTTTGTTGTCAATCATCTGCCCTTCTTAATAGAGATTTAACACTTGAGTTTTAGAGCAAGCATTTCAATGTTGCCTGCTGAAAGCCATGAGGACGTTATACTCATATGAACACAACCGTACATGTTTTAACACCCTTCTGAATAGCGATTTAACATTTGAGTTTTAGAGCAAGCATTTCAATGTTGCTTGCTGAAAGCCATAAGGACGTTATACTCATATGAACACAACCGTACATGTTTTAACACCCTTCTGAATAGCGATTTAACATTTGAGTTTTATAGAGCGAACACGTTTCAATATACGTTTGAAAGCCATAAGGACATTAAACTCCCATGAACACAACTGTAACAGTTTTAAAGCCTACATGTATCTGCACTAGTTTGGCCAGGAGGGATTTGACCTCCCTGCATGGTGGTTAGGTGGCTATCTCATCAAATCAGCTCTCAATAAACATAAGAAAAAGGGGACCATCGGGGATCAACAGGTACCGCTTAGGCATTGTTGGCTATATAGAGGGCGCAAGTAGCTACAAGTAGTGCAGTGGGGCTTTAATGCCCTTCTGGATCTCAGCAGATCAGATTACCCCTAGGTAGGTGCACTGTACTTTTCTGGTATTGTTATGGAAATGGCATTTATCAGATCAGATTGAAATGCATGTACAACAAAGAAGAACACTACAAACTGGGTGAGGCAAGCAAGCATGGCTTTCACAGATAGCCTGCCTGCATGCATTTACATGCACATTAACGGAATGGGATTTAAAAACTAAAAAATTAAAGGGGGGGGGGGGGGGGGGGGGCACACCACAGTAAAAGAGACCAACCACTAAAACCATTTTGCTCTGATCTTTTTTAGGTTAATTCTCTGGTATACTATATTAAAAAAGTCACAACTTTTGATCACTTTGCTGTCCCAATTTTTTACCACAAATAGAAGGGGGAAATAAAGGGGGAAAACAAAGGGGGAAATAAAGGGGGAAAACAAAGGGGGGAAACAGATTGTTATACTTAGTCTGATCAAAGCTCTAGTAACGCTATGAACTTAATAATCATCAGATAATCTACATACCGGTACCGGTACATAAAATATTGTAATGAGATTAGTAAAATATGGGACAAAATACTTTCAAAGAAAAATTGTATGTTTCTTTAAAAGTAAAAGCAACTACAATACATGTAGTAAAGAACCGATAACTGCAATCTACAATGTCTTCTTTGAGAAGCATGTCATGTCGTAGAGTTCACTCAGAAAGGCTATTTTTAAGCATACGGTAACATGCTTTTATTTGAGAGCATCGGCACAACATCCTCCTTTGTACTACTGACCTTGGACTCCCTCCGGCAGAAACACCGTACACATAAGGCCTGTCTTCATCAGCCCGAGTTTGCCAAATAACCCCCTATTTTAACCATCCCGATTGTTAATTTGCGGCTTCATCAGCCTGCAGTTGCAATTAGTGGGATATTTTGTCAAGAAAATATCCCGAGAAAGCTTGGTCTTGTTTCCAAAATATTCCGCTATTCAGGAAATAAGGTGCTGATTTGCGCCCATCCAAGGTAGTTTATGATGAGCCTATCGGTCTAGTGAAGAGGCAATTTTGAACTTCGGGATAATATCCCAATTCTGAAAACAGCAGGTTATTTGGCAAACTCGAGCTGATGAAGACAGGCCTGAAGTCATTACTGTTTCTTGCATGTCACATCATCAAAGTGTTAAAGCAAACTGGAAAGAATTACAAAGGATTCATGTCTACACCCTGAGGGAGACAAGACCAAACAACTGAGGGGGTAATCACTCTTTGGTGAGCTATCTACCTCCCAGAGTTAGGCCAAATTAGTTCAAGCGAGGGAGCAATATCTTTTACATGGAAAATAATGTTTTGCTATGGGTTGACTTGTTTTTATAAATACATACATACAAAATAAAGCATTTAAAAGAGGAAAAAGCTAGATACATTTACAGTTGCTCTATTCAGAGCCATTAATAAAATAATACTTCCCAGAGGTCTAGGGGCATGCATGCCAAACATAGCAGCATACAACTATATAATTGTTACCTCACTGACAGTGAGTTGGCAAAACTATGATGTATAAATGGCTCTGGCCTGTGTGTGATTACCTTTTATCTAAACTATTGTATATTTATCCCATAGCAATCAAATATCAAGCTAAATTGATGATATTATCTGCTGAAAGCAAGAAGACTTGCATCATTCTACAAATTTATGCATTTCTGGCTTTCAACCTGTGATATCATGAATATAAACGCATATTATTTCATGAAGGTATGTATCATATACATTATTTCTAGGGCTAAATTGGTAATCATTCAAGAAAATGTCTTATTTGGCTAAAATATTCAGTTTTCATGACTTAACTACCATAGAATTCTGGTTCCATGACTTAAACATCACAGGATACAGCTTTCATGACTTCAATATCCAGGATTCAATTGTAAGAACTATCATAATTTACCGGTAGGCAAACATTTTCCTTTGCCTTAAACAGTTTGTCCAATGCCATAATAAAGTAAAAAGTTGAGTAAACAATTTTTTAGAAAGAAAGGGCCAAGAAATAACATTTTAACATGAATGATCAAGGCAAGACATTATTGGAAACTCAATAATTAAAAGAAAATTAAAAAACTTACAATCTGGTCCGTCTAAATTCAAGTATGGCATATCTGCAATTCTGTGTAGAAACATCCTATGCAGATGAAAAGGAGAAGAAAAAAAAAAGACTTTGTAAAATCTATGCCCATAGTCATTCTGATAATACTAAGAAGAGGCTTTTCAAATTTTAATAGCAACAGGTTGAATTACATGAAAGCAGAAAAAAGAGAAATAGGTTGGCAAAAGTGTGAAAGAAATGACATTAATGCATAAAAACACAATTGTAAATGTTAGAAAACGTGGAAGGAAAAAATCTGAGAAACATGGATGTATTTCAAGTTCCTACGTGATTCATAATTCAAATCATCTTCATTGTAGAATTACAGTAAAACCTGTCTACATCGACCGCCCAAGGGAAACACAAAAAGTGGTCTTTGTAGACAGGTTTCTTTAGTACATGTTTCAATAAGAAACTATTTTCACAGGAAACAAAAAATGTGGTCTTTGTAGACAGGTGGTTACTAAAGCAGGTTTGACTTTATTAACATGTCAGGTTTTTGTGTTTTCTTGTGATTCACAATTTCACATTATTTACTAAAAGATAATTCATTCATCAGAGAAAATCCTACATAAGCCATGATAAACTGCATGGGCTTTTCAAGAATACTGTGCTTCATATTTTTGTATACTGCAATACACAAATAGCTTGGTGGGCGTAGGAACTTAATTTGCTGCGCGCAGTAACACTTTCAGCTTCACTTGCCACATACACACACACGCACGCACGCACGCACACACATGCAGCGGTTTTATTATTATGTGGACAATGGACTCTAAAACAAGAATGTAAAAAAACATTCAAATAATGCTATTCCACAGCCTCACTCCACTTCTCTTCAATGGCAAGACCTTCCCAGCAATCTCCTAAACGGCTCTAAAAATAACCCGGTGGGAAAACCCAGCATAATAACTTAACTTAACATTCTTGGTGTCTATGTACATGAAACACTGAACACAAAGGAGCTAAACTCTCAAAACTAGTATGTGGAATGGTTGATTGAAGCCAGTTCACATGCGATATTTAATACGACTATCACAAAATGCTCTTAGAAGATTTATTTATCTGAGGCATTCCTGACCTAGCAGCAACTACTGTCTTTAAACTGCAAACCAACAATATGCAATAGAGGGGGGGGGGGGAGGGAAGGGGGAGGGAAGGAAGGCGGGAGAAACAGATCAACGATGGAAATTTGTGAAGCTCGAAGGGGAACTATAGCCACGTGTGAACAACCCATAACCTTTTCTTGTGATCCAGGAAGTGTGAACAGAAGACGCAAGCTAAAACAACATCAGTTGGCCTAGATAGTAATTAATAGACACAATACGGGAGACAGAGAGGCACAAATTTTTATAATGGAGTTGTTGTGTTTTCGCTCTAGGTGTGACAAAATGGGTTTTTACGATCATTCATAAGAGCCTTGTTTAGATAGCATAATATACTACAAGCCATATGTGACTCATACTCTTACTACATCATAACAGGGCCAATATTAGTTCAACCCATACCCATTCAATCTGTACTCACAAATATATCTTTGTTCCGAACAAACAAACAGTTACGCATACCGGTATTCTACTTCCATTCATTTATCAAAGATATATATCTAACCGCAAAGAGCTATATCAACAGGGGGAATTTCCAAGCTCCATCTCTGTTGCCGCCAAAAATGGCTATAAATGGCGAGGGATTCCCACACTGGCGGTTGAGTATGTTGATTTAACTGTACTGTAACAAACATATTAGGATGTTTATATAGTAACTCCCTTAAGATTGGACGAGTATCGAGAGGATGCTGCTTTACTTAAGGATAAACTTGAGTTCTGGGAAAAAAAGAAAATGAATTCTCACAGAATCTAACGAAACTTACACTGAATGTTCAAGATTACAAATTAATGTCATGTGCCAAACAATTTTGGAAGAAAATGTATACTGGCTGAGTAATGAGCATAGAAAGAAAAGGAAATCAGGGTAGTACTAGCCCCGACACCATGTGTGTTATCCCATATACATCTTTCTGTGTAAGTGATTGTTACTTTACCAAGACTCTGCCAAATTTACAGTATGATTATTTTGATGACTCCAGAACCTTGCATTACACACCATTACTTACATGCTATATGATCAACTTTTCTGATCCATTCCACACCTTTTCTTTCACAATGCAATCGCATTACCAGAACTCAACTTTATCTTTAATGTAATGTCTTAATACATGCTTGCCTCAAAAGTAGCAAAGAGTTAATATGGTATTTCGATTCTTAAAGATAAGCTTGAGTTTTGATAATGATAAAAAATAAATTATCACAGAATCCAACAAAACTCACACTGGATGTTCAAGTTTACAAATAAATGATGTGTGCCAAACGATTTTGGTAGAAAATGTATAGGGGCTGAGCAAAGAGCATGGAAAGATAAGGAAATCAAGGTAAGTAGGCCTGACACCATGTACTTAACAAAGGTCACTACGTGCAAATGTGAGTTGTGGTTTGTATTGAAGATTTTTTGTTTTTTGTGAGTTTGTTTGTATTTTACTGGTTTAAACAATCAATCTACTGCAGGATAAACAGTTCTCTCTACATATGATTCCCATACCAGGGCTCAAGATTAGTTTTAAAGTGCACTGGAAAACTGGAGAAAAAAGATGTTCTGCAGACACATTGAAAAAAAATTATGTTATGGTTGGAATGGGAAAGGTTTTTAGTAGATGATTTTTTTTAATGATACATTTTGACCAAAGTTGGAAACAATAAAGCTGCAAGCTCTTGCATATTGGCCATTCCCCCAAAATGAAGGATGTTCATCATTATATTCAAAACACAAAGAGTTTGGAAACTGTCAAATAGTACGAATATATAGAAATGGCCAAATCAAATGACCACATTTTGGAAAAATTATGAGATGTGTACACTGCATTGTGGCTCAATGTTCTAAAATGTGTGGTTTTGTTCAAATAGTGCCGTTCATGAAGAGGTGTTCGTGAAGAAATCATCCAGTTGCCAATTTGTGATCAATCTTCATATCTTTATGACTGAATGACTCTTTTCTCTACCCTTAAAACTTTTCCTTCATTTCCCGGTTTCATTTCAATCATTCTTCTGCAAAATGCACATTCTTGTTTTTAACATTTCAATTCCTAGACTGCAACGTCGGTCTGGCGCTGCTCAGTGGCTGCCGGGCTCACGATCAATTGGGCAAAAAGAATTTCCATTTTTGGTTTAACTTAATAAAATTTGGAGTGGACTTTAAAAGATTATTATTATTATTATTATTATTTGGCATTCAGGTTTTAACTAAATACTAATGCATGAAGCCAGTGCAGTTTCCATTTTCATGAGTGATATGATGTACGTTTCTGGTTCTTAGCCAATTTACGTAGCAAGAACTACCAAAGAATAACCGATACATAAAACTGTACCGGGAAGATCCAGCACGTATGTATATGCAAAAACAAAACATGATCTCCTTCGTGGTATCGTTTGATTGGTCCATGACCGAGAGAAGGAGGCGGAGACTAGAAGTGGGTGTCGACTTCTGTGGTACATGTAGATTGCTCAAGTAATGGATGAGGAATGAGTGTGATCATATAAAAACATACCATGGTAAAAAGAGGGTCTCATTGTATTTCATATTCTCTACAGATAGGGAGTTCTGATGCGGTAAATACAAATGCAAGTCTTATTATCTTCGTGCCCGAGAAAAGAAGGCAGAGACCAGAGAAGTGGGCGTCGACCTCTGTATAGTAAACGGATGAACCAATGAACAAGAAATGAGTGCAATGTGAAAAAAAAGTGCAGTTGATCGCATTCCATACTTCACAACTTAGAAGTTCAGATGAGGTTGATCAATGAATGAAATTCTTACATGTAGATGCAAGATCATAAACTCCTCCAAATAGATCTGCATTCAGTAAAAAAAAAAAAAGCCACGTGCTACGTTAAAGCCATACTGCACGAGAAGCACTACTGCAAATCCCCCTCTCTAGCGCCATCTCAGGTCAGCTGTAGCAGTATGGTCCCATAACTTGCTGCTTCCCTAGCTTAACCATTGGTTCTTACATCAAGTCCCCAGTCTGCTAAATGGAAATTTGCCATTGCGTTACTCACGGTTGGCAAGTTAACCATGAGATGGCGCAATGCAATAAACAGTACGCTAGAGCGCAGACAGTTCAACGGTTCGGTATTGCTTTGATCATTACCAAGGCTTTATTTATCTGTGTAACATTGTCAAGGTGACCTTGTCTCTACAGGGGAAGAATGATGAAAAGAATGTACATGTACATGTAGAGGTGTGGTGGTCGAGTGGATTTGTCGCCGGATAGTGGACCACAATGTCTGCGGTTCTAGTCCCGCCGCAGCACTAATGTCTTTTGGCGAGACATTAATCTATATTTGCCACACTCGACCCAGGGGATGTTAATGGGTACCTGGCAGGTAACAATTCCTTAAAATGCTAGAGGGCCTTAATGATTTTTAAATCAATAAACCATTAAAAACCCAATCGAATGATGGTTGTTCGATAATCTTTTACTTTATCCACGTTGATTTCTGACATGGGTCGTCAACAGTTTTAGTGAAAGGACACTTGGATAGTCAGACTTGTACATGGGCCTAAACATGGGAATGAATGAACTTTGACCTTGATCTTTGCCATGTTGAGGGGCATTGTAGCCAGTTAAATAGTAGGGAAAACATTCAGTAAAATGCCTTGCTGCATAATTTGAATTCAGCACTTTATAAGAGCTTCCGCTTGCTTTTCTCGTACTTCTTACTCAGTCATGATGTTAGGTAGCACAGCGAAATGTAGAGGCAGGAACAACGCAAATTGTTAAGATATATGAAGCTGATAAATGCTCATACCATCTAGACGAGGCTTCATTTTAGCTACAGGTAACCTTTCGTTGAGCTATGCAAAATACGAACTTTAATTAACAAACATCCATATTAAACTATCGTGAATTTTGCATTCTGGACGCCTTTTTTCGTACCTCAGCATTTTGCTAAGCTCCCTTAGTTTCAGAAAATCTTTTTAAAAAAAGATTGAGTTTGTTTGCTGTAAAATTTTTGGAAGTGCTTGGACCCCTATCCAAAGCAGTAGCTAGATGAATTACTCAGCAAAAAGAGTTACGTGAGAAAGGGATTATCCAAATGTCTCATGAATAGCATAGATTAGAGCCAGTTTTCTCAAACATATTTCCTTTCCCAGTGTAAAGAAAGAATTACCTCAATAATGTGAAAATTGGTGGCCCTGCTTATCTGTACTTAATAATAAAAGGCTCAGATGGGAAACAAAGTACAAAAGGAATTGTACTCGGTGATGCTGAAAATATATATATATATTTTTTTTTATAGTACACGGCATGGACAGGCAGCCACGTACAGTATGCAAGGTAAACTAGGCCCGGCCATGCATTGTGTTATGTGAACATGCACACATGTCACATGTACACATGAGTGGGAAGGTTGGAGGCGTGGTCTATGTAGAGAGAGAGTATTTGATTGGTTAATAGCTCAAGTGATGTACACAAACACACAATGAGAATGGAGACATGAATACTTTGAACTGACCCGATTCTGATTCAACCGAAATGGTTCGATAAATGCTTTAGAATAAGTTCAATGGTTGAAACTTCATGATGTCACCGTTTCTACTTTATCGAGCCATGGGCTGTTCAAAACATTCAATAACAACATGTATCATGGTTGATTCAACAGTGATAAAAAATACTTGGCATTTTTTTGGTCTTGCAAAGTACAACATATCTCATTCTTCACTCTCTCTCTCTCTCTTTCTCTCTCTCTCTCTCTAGCTCATACTCTCTATTTCTCTCTCTCTCTCCTTCTCTCTAACTCGTGCTCTCTATTTCTCTGCCTTACAGACATATTAATGGTATACAAATGATGCATGCGCATGAGTTCATTATTCGATCTATCCGCGCTCGAGTTGAGGCTGTGTGAATCTACCGCACAAAGCCAATAGGCTGAGAGTAATAGATACACACACTGCCTCAACAAGGGTAGATAGATAGCATAATGAACGAATGAAAACATGCATCATTTGTTTTATACTACAAAACTCCTAGATCCTTGTTATTCGATGTAAACAGAATTCATTCAAGATTGTTTAGTGAGAGTTTGGCTATTGTTTTTACATACCTGTCGCTTTTATTGTTTATGTATGTACCTGTATCTATTTCTAACTTGTTGTTTTTTAAGCAAGTGTTTTTACATACCTGTCGCTTTTATGTTTATGTATGTATCTGTTTCTAACTTGTTGTTTTTAAGTTATTGTTTTTACATACCTGTTGCTTTTACTGTTTACGTATGTATCTGTTTCTAAGTTGTTGTTTTTAAGTTATTGTTTTTGAATACCTGTTGCTTTTACTGTTTACATATGTATCTGTTTCTAAGTTGTTGTTTTTAAGTTATTGTTTTTGAATACCTGTTGCTTTTATTGTTTATGTATGTATTTGTTTCTAAGTCGTTGTTTTTAAGTTTTCGTTTTTACATACCTGTCACTTTTATTTTTTACGTTTGTTCATCTATGATTTATATGAAGAATACAAAATAAATGGAATGAGTAGTCTGGCGAAAAGTAGGGGCAGGAAAAACACATCGAGAATGGAAATGGCCTAATATTTGTAGATTATGGTGAATAAAGAGTTGTAAATTGACAAATGTGCATGGTATTTTTTGGTAATAAAAGCCTCTTCAAGGGAGAAAATATATCTACTAATTCTGTGTCCTAATGATATGGGTCTACCATAGTCTTTTTCTGCTGGCGCATTTCGCTATTAAGCTACTGTAGAGGGGAAGTCGACCTGGATATTAAGTTGATAGAAGCAGAATAATAAGAAAAACAGTACACAGCAAATAGGAGATTACAACTTCCATGACATCCTTATCTAAATAGGATTAAATAGGAATGGTTCTCTCATTATTCTATGTATTAAGAACCAACTTAAAGATAAACTTGGGTTCTGGTAAATATAGAAAATATATTCTCACAGAATTCAACGAAACTTACACTGAATGTACAAGATTACATATAAATGACATGTGCCAAACAATTTTGGTAGAAAATGTATAGTGGCTGAGTAATGAGCATAGAAAGATAAGGAAATCAAGGTAAGTAGGCCCTACACCAAGTGCTTAACAGGTCACTATGTGTAAATGGGAGATATGTTTTTTATCCAGTAAGTTTTCATGCAGTTTTTCTCTAGTTCAAACAACCAGTGTACTGTAGGATAACCAATCCAGAATAAATCACAGCAATTTTTGCTCAAACTACGATTCCCATACCAGAGCTCAAGATTAGCTTTAATATCAGGGTGGACTTGCCCTTTGAATTGAGGAAAACAGAATATTCCTTACTTATTGAGGAATGGTTCGATGAGGTTTGACGTCGGGGACACTCTGGGCTTGGGCGGGGTCAAGAAAGTGCCAATATAGTTGGCCATGGTGGCGAAGCACACACCGGTCACGTAGGCGTCGTACGCAGCCTCGTGGAACTTCTGATTAGCTGTGTAGTCTACGAAGCCTGAGGGCGGTATCACTGTGAATTGAAATGCAAATGCAGAGAGTATTTAAAAGCAAGGTCGTATGTTTCTTTTTTCATAATATGAGTATTGTATTATACTGAGAACGTGTGCCTTTTCTTTACTTCAAAAACCTTTACTTGAATACACAGTAGTTCACTATAAAGCTATCTCTATCACTATAGCATGTGAAAGAAAATGTTTGTTTTTTTTCTTTGGCAAAAGAAACAGCATGTACAGTGATTATGCACATTTTTATCAATACCTTTTTGAAAAGGTTGTTAAAGTAGCTAATTTCTTTATCCCCTATTTCTCCTATGATGAAAGAAAATTATAATTGTTATATTCATGGAGAATAATGAAAAACAATTAGTGGGGGGGGGGGGAATAATCTTCCTTTGCAGTTACATTTTGAAGCACAGTACCAAAAAATAAATGGCACAGATTTTTTAAATTAAAAAAAAAAATCCATAACCACCAGAGTAATTTTGCTCCTTGTCACTCTAAGGACGGATTTTGAAATATATGTATTTTTTAAAAATTAGATAAAAAATATTAATTTTCTGAGTTAACATTTGCTTTTTCAGCAACAGTTGAAGGCAAGAGTTGACAGCATACCTATATGTGGTCTTCTGAAAGGTTCCTCATCACATTTGCTCATTAGATCATTCAGGCCTGTCATCGGAAAGAGTTCCTGCAGAAAAGAAAGAAAATTATGTTTTATAATAACATTTTGAAGAAAAAAAAAAATTATAACTATAGTAATAATAAAGGTAAACATAATGATAATAATAATATTATTATAATAACAATAATAATAATAAAAATTATTATAATAGTCACATTTGTATGGTGCTAAGTGTTACATTGTAATTATTATTATTATTCTGCTTTTAAACTTCAATAACAGGTTTTACAAGAAACATATTCATGTTTTGAACCATGTAATTTAATCTTACTGAGCCATTAATAAAATAAATCTATATATTGTAAGTGTGGGCAATATTGTCATGACATTAACAATGTAGAACTTTAACAAGCAGTCGTAGGCTATCTAAATATTGGTGGAGTAAGGTTATAAAGGCATAAACCGGTATGTTTTCTTTTGGTTTATCAAAGTTGTTAGGTGGATAAGTTTCTGTAAAATAAATGTGAATATCATCTTCATTTAAAGGGCCACTCTAACCCAACTAACATAGCCTTTCAAAACATGAATAAACCTCTACTATTTAATATTCCAGACTCTGATTTTTCACCTAAAAATGATAATAACCATCCATTTTTCACAGGTCACACGCTTGCAGGGTTATGCCCTTTGAAAAAAGGTAGTACGGTCACGTGGCCTTGATGACGCATTTGACGTCATTGCGGGCATGTCCGATTTGTCCTACAACTAAGGATCTTACATTAGGAATGATGAAATTGCCAGAAACGTACTGGGATTATCAAATGCATATTATTTTTCAGATAATTGTCTTTTTTTCTCCAATTAATATCATAGTTTGCCTTTTTAAAGACATTTTAATGCCTAAATCACCCTCCTTTTCACCGGAAAGGCGCCTGCATTGCGCAATACAGCTCCAAAACTGGACTTTTTCTAAGCTTGCTGAGTCGTCATTTCTAAAAATAGATTCCAGAAGTGAGAACTATTGATGATTTCTAAGAAAAATCATTGTCATGTTCGGAATCTCCGTCAAAAATTATTCTACATGTCTTTTTTTCATTTTTTAGCCCGTTTTGGTTAGAGTGACCCTTTAAAGATTACAGGTGTATTATTTCAAAACATAAACAGCAGGTGCACCATATGTTCACATATGAAAGATTCGTTCGTGTTTAAACAGGATCAAATTCTAGCAAATGTTAACACAAGATTTATCATCAATAACCCTGGTCATTGTTTAAGCACTCTCATGCGTATTCAAAAAATGCTACAAATCAACATCTACATAAAACTAGCATCGTTAGCACAACAATTAACAATACAACCTATAATAGACATATAATCTTACATCTTCTCGTCTTTCTCACAATATACCCTTTTAACATACAAAAATATTGAGTAGCTTCTAAAATTAAATTGTTATGACTTCCAGGTAAACATTTCTTGAATTGCAATTAAGTCATAAATTGTCTATAAAAAGTGATTATTACCATATTTAACTTTAAAAGCCCATAGTGATTTTCCACTTTTAGACTTTGGTCAGACATCACCCTGGTGCCAAATGGTTACAGGAAGGAAGGAACATTCCTTGAAGGCTGTGAGCACCGAAATTGACAGCCCGGCTAGAGGCAGGGTGATGTTTAAGTGCCTTGCCTGGTTGATAAATGTGCTATAAAAATAGCCATTATCATTACTATCATCATGCAAAGCATAAACATTTTACGCTCTTTCATTTTTCAACTATTTAAAAAAAGATGGCTCTATTGTGCAGAATGTGTAACTTTAATGACACCGCCACTAAATGGCATAGTTACATTGTTGGAGATGATTTTACTGGATATTTGTGTATGCTTTTAAACCATGTAAAATGTATTATATTATTGAATGTTGAATAGTATATCTGATTTCTTGTCAAAATTACTGTTCTGTTGGAGATGAAAAATAAAACTGAAACTATATACCAATATTGTACCAATATATATATATATATATATATATATATTATGAGTACTTGTGATGCGTCATTATTGCCTTTAAACAAATTCATAGAAATTTATTTACTAAATATAAATATGGTGCAATTAGAAACAAAAGAAAATAGAAGGTAAATTGGTCGATTTTCCAAAGAGTTATACCAGAGAAGGAAGAGGCTGTCATTTGAAACTTGAATGGATTTGATGCTCTTTTTGTGGATAAACAAGATGATTGCCTCTCTATGTTCCACATTAGTTTGATGTGAAATAAAGACTTTTTCTATTATTAGCATGGAAATGGTGCACTTTTGTGAATGTATATATATATATATATATATATATATATATAACTATGGATTGCACATACGGAAGACATGTGATAAAAATCAATATTTTGGAGACAGTAGCAAAATGGTACCATAAAGTTAAAACAAGCATACAAACTTTCGTTTTTATTTCGCAGAAAAGATCTTCAAACCAGAGTCTTTCAATTACTTAATTACTTTTTACCCTCAAAGACACACTTTTTCGGTAAAAGATATACCGTCGTAATTTATGTCTCCTTTACGTTTCATTACTATCTGAGCAACAAAAGGGAGACATTTTGTCTTTCTCATACTATTGGGAGACATGTCTCCTAATGATAGTGATACTGAGCATGCACACATATATGTATATATATATATAAATGTAACATAATTAAAATGTATGTTTTGCTTTATAGATTTTTGAACATACTATTAGTCTTCATACAAGCCTAAAGGGTTATAAGGATTGCACATAGGCTTAGTCTATATTAAATTACTATTATCGTTATAATTATAATAACTATTATCATTATTATCATTTCTATTAACATTGTTATAAATTCTTGTTTATTAACACGAAAATGTCTCCTTCATGTGGGTGTCTCCTATAAGTAGGTATAATAACACCAAAATGTCTCCCAAATGTCAGATCTATAGAAATATTATCATCATCATTATTATTATTGTTATTTGATTTAATTCCACAAACTGGAAACTTCCTGGGTCTTTGAAGACATGCATTACTTCTAGGAAACACCCACTCAATGGAGACATATTTGTGTCTCCTTGAAGTACAAGTTTATCGATTATTTTGTCTATGTTATTATTAATGTTTTTTTTATCATTTTTTTCTTGTGTGGAGGTATATTCGCACATGTCCTTTGTTTTTGTTAATACTCGATATGACATGCAGTGGCGGATCCAGGGCGCAACAGGTGCGCAACAGTTTTTACCATCTTCATCCCCATTATCATAATTATAACTATCCTCTTTATAAATCATAATATCATTATCAATGTCATATGAATGGATTTGTATACTATAAGAAAAATATGAAAAGGAAAAAGAATCTTGCATGTGAAGACACCATATGCTAACTTTCAAAAAGGAACCCGAACGCGACCCGACCGTTTAGCACAAGCCAAACAAAACGAACCAGACACAACGAATCTCACAGACATGTGTATATGGACACAAACTCAATCAAAATATGCATTCACATCTTCAACTGGTCATCCACAAAAGGTCACATTCAAAAGCAAAAACAAAACGCGGGAACTATTTAGTTATTTTATTAGCAAGGAATTTATTACAAAGGTAAACCATGGATTAATTGAGCAAGTCTAAAATCAAGCAATAAAAATTGGGCACATGCTCAAAATTATAAATAAGCATGAAGTAGAATACATATATTATATAAATGGGAGAGATCTCAATGCAAAATATTAAATTAATAGTCACATTGAATATTAAAGAAACAATTTAAATTGCACAGACAATACAAGAAAATATTTCAGTGTATCACATCATCAGGCAAGAAAATAAAGAAATGGCAAGAAAGAGACAGAAAATTGGAAATAGGGAAAGGGAGGGAGGAAGGGGAGAGAGACAGAACAAAGTAGTGTGGTGGTGGTTTTGGTAGTAAACCTCCTTGGTAGTGGTAGTAGTAGTAGTAGTAGTAGTAGTAGTGGTAGTAGTAGTAGCAGCAGTAGCAGTAGTAGTAGTAGTACAGTGGAACCTCGTTATAACGATATCGGATATAACAAAATCCTCTTATAACGAGGTAATTTTGCTGGTCCCAGCTCTTTATATTTCTTTGGTTTTTTACACTGATATAATGAGAAACCTGATATAACATTAGGTAATTTTCATGGTCCCAAGCACCTCGTTATAAAGAGGTTCCAATGTAGTAGTAGTAGTAGTAGTAGTAGTAGTAGTAGTAGTAGTAGTAGTAGCAGTAGTAGCAGCAGTGGCAGCAGCAGTAGTAGTACTGTAGTACTACTAGTAGTAGTTGTAGTAATACAAGACTAGTAGTAGTAGTAGTAGTAGTAGTAGTAGTAGTAGTAGTAGTAGTAGTAGTAGTAGAAGTAGTAGTAGTAGTAGCAGTAGTAGTTTTATATTTCTAAAATATTTATAAAACTAATAATGCTTAACCTTGAAATTCTACATATAATTGGAACATACATACTCTACCCAACCATGACTAACTTGACATGAACCAATGAATAACCACTCGTGCATGAACGAAAACAGAGCTTCTCAAAAAAGGTGTAAAATTAAGATGTGGTCAAAACTTTGCCTGTATCTTTTGAATCTAGTAAAGGAAGTCATCTCATTTTTGGTCTGGGTCCTCACAAATGAAAGCAAAAGAAAGAACATACATGTGGAGATCTTCGGTTCTGAAATTAATCCCGATGTAGTCATTTTCATATTTCGATGTCTATTCTGGGATGAATAGGGACAGTGCCCAATGTTATGCAACACTACAACCTAGTGGGTCAGAATGTAATCGTTATACTTTTCCTACATTTCTCATGAATAAAAACATTAACACATGTAATTATTATAGCACTAAATGAGCAAATTAGCATTATTTACTCTTGTCACAAAGAACACTGATGTAGCCAAATATGTACACCATATAAAAGGCAATGCTGTAAAATATTCCAATAACAGGAATAACAATAACAAAAGTTCAACTAGATGCAAACGTGCAATCCATATATATGCAAGATTAGATAGTAAAATGACATCTAAGTGTCTTTGTAATATCTGTGCTTGT